ACCCTAGTAATGTAATTGAGAGTATTGTTTTAGAGAAGGATTAAATTACATTGTAATTCCAACTGAATAGGTTCTCCGAATAAACTTCTACATTAGCTTGGGTAGCTATGACATATGGTTAGATGTCACTCATAGCTTGTGAGTTCTTCTAGATGATTAAATGTAGTCGTCAAAGAAGAAAGGTGAATTAAAATGAAGTTTTAATTCACTAAGTGATTGAATTAAATATAATCAATTGGATTGATGCCAATCACCTCACTGCCTTGCTAATTAGAACCTAAAAGATTGTTCACCAATACACTATTGTAGTGAGTAACTAATGGATGATGGAAATAATTAATTGGATTAATTAAGTGTTGTGATTAATTTAGAAAGTCTGAAGAAATCATAAAAGCGATAAAGATCGTTTTGGGCTTAAAGAAACGTTCGGGTTTAATTGGGCCCATTGGGCTTTTATTCAAGCATTGGATGACTTGAAATAAATGAAAGCCCAAAGCCCAAACAACACAAAGAGGGCCGGCCATTTTAGGTGTGGAAAGGGTGAGATATTTAGTCAAGTTGTTGGCTAGGTTTCTTATGTCTATATAAGGAACTTTATAGTGATATTGTTCATAAGGGTTTTTGTGTGGTTAAAAACAACAAAGAGGCAAAAGAATATCTCTCTAAAAACTACACAAAGGCCGGCCACCTTGGGGTGATTTTACTAACATATCTTTCACCCTTTGGTTATTCCTTCATCCTTCTCACTACTCTAGTGAGTGAGGATCTTTAGAGGTTTCCTACTTTGGAAACTTGAAGAGAACCTAGGAGCACTCATTCTATCAAAGTGGAGGAGGCAAGGAGGGAAGCTAGGCTCAAGGAGTTCAAGGAACAAAGGGCTTGGAGGTGGTCCATCCTTGGTCTCAAGTCTAGATCAAGAGGTATAAGACTAAACCTTCACTTTGTTCTTTTCTCTAAAATTTTATTTGATGCATTATATATATAACCTATGAACCTTGAAGGGGATTTGCATGACTATAGCTTTGTTAATATGTTATAAATGCTTCTGCTGCTTTCGTATATTAAATTTTGATTTGTATATGCATGATAGTCATTTAGAAATCCCATCCATGAATCTCATAGATTTCCCTTCATTAAGTAGTCAAATTTATCCTTTACATAAAAATCATAGTTCAAATTGAAAAGATTTACAAGCATGCTACTAAAACAATGTGTACCTTAGCAATCCTTGATTAACCTTCGTGGATCTAATACTTTCCATCAACAAGTCTCATGAGGAGACATAAAATACATCATGATGCAACCGATTTCCATGCCTTAAAACCAGAACCTATAATGGGGCTCATACTAGAAATATTTGTAACAGAAGACATGGAACTTAATCTGCAATAAACTCCATGAAATTAGATTAATTTATACTTGTGGGCAAGAAAATTACCTAGTATCTAGTACTAGATTAAATGTCACAAGAGGACCTTCATTAAAAACTTCAACACTTGTGGGCAGATGAAGCTTTCATAACTCCTATGAAATAAAACTCATACTTTGCCATCTTAATTAAACTAAAAGCAACAATCCACACCTTAAAACAAGAACATTATTCCTTTTATTCTAATTAAGATGCAACTTTGATAGAAATAACTCAAAAACACAGTCTCATCATCAACTAAGCCATTGCGGCTTGCTTAGTTGAAAGGACATTGATCAACTCCGCCTTGAAACAAAAGGTAACAAGGATTAATTAGCCGTAAGTGACAAAATTATGATAACCTGATTCAAGCTTCGAATCTTGCCAACAAATGGCATTAATTCCTTCATGACTCCCATTGACATTCAATTAATCTCAAGAAGCCTAACAACATATTTGAAAGAGATTAATCACATATAGAACAAGTTGTTTAAGAATCGTAATTATCACACTTACACTACAATAATGTCAATAATTACAAGAGAACATGATGGAGCTAATTGCTTCGGAATAGAAACACTTTACGTAATGTGAAAGAATAATACATTTGCTTTAATTCAAAAATCAATTTGTGATATCACCTAAATGCTTTCTTAAGTCAAACGAGTTCCTTTTCTTTTGTACGTTTCTTTCCGTAGTACAAAACTACTAACAGTATTAATTAGCATTAAAAGCATGCATTAGTTTGGTAAATACCAAATTAAATAAAGGAACAACCAAAATTCTTTTCTTCCAAAGAAAACATCTCCAATACATGTCATACATTAGTCTTGAATAATTTCTTTTCCTCTTCAATTATGGCACATAAAATTTTGACTGATCAAGCATTGTTTAAATCCTTTAGGCATTAGGAAAAACTAACAAACTATAATACAAGTTTGGAAGCTCATGCTTATTAATCTGTTAGGTTGTTAGTTTTTCCTAATGCCTAAAGGATTTAAACAATGCCTTTTGCATTCATATTTTCAACACTAGCTTTGGATTAGTATTCACTAAAGAAGACCTTTTTATGTCTAAATAAAAGAGTTATTGCACTAGCTTTGAAGAAGAGCAAAACAGTAAGTTGTATGCTACTCAAGGAGTTAAAGTGAGAGAATATAATAAGGACAAAGTCTATGTGAGAAAAAATAAAAGAGATAATAGTTTAATTTTTGTTCTTTCAGGTCTTCATCAAGTACTAATCCTAGAGGCTTGGCAAGATAATTTATTGTACTCATTATTGAAATAGTGAAAGTTTGTTGTTGCTGCCCCGTAGACATAGGCACGTAGCTAAACCATGTAAATTCTTGGTGTTATCTGTCTTGGTTATTTGTTTTCGGTTTTTGAGTTTGTTTAGTTTTTTCCATTCTTGAAGGCAATATTCACAACAAGTGGTATCAAAGCCTCGTTTGGCTGATATCTAGTTTAGAATGGAGGGTGCGATTAGCCCTGTGATAAAACCCACCCGCTCTAACTAGTTGATGTGGAAATCAATAATGGATGACATGCTTTATTGTAAAGAACTCCATGAGCCAATTGAAGGTGTTAAGAACAAGCCAGCAAGTATGTCTAATACCGACTGGAGCAAGATGAATTGTAAAGCTAATGGTAGGATTTGATAATGGTGGATGAGAGCATCTATCCCCATGTACCTAAAGATTGATGTGCAATCTCTTTGGAAAAAGTTAGAATCTCTCTTTGAGAAGAAGACCACCGCCAAGAAAGTATTCCTTATCAAGAGCTTGTCAACGTGAAGTATGTAGAAGATGTTAGTATGATCGAGCCCTTGAACAACTTTCAGAGCATGACCTATTAGTTGGCCATTATGGGTTTGAATATTGAGATATAATATTTAGCACTATTGTTGCTAGGATCCTTGCCAGATGGTTAGGAAACCTTCATTGTAAATGTAAACAATCTAGCTTATAATGGTGTACTATATATGGACAATGTTAAGGATAACATGTTCAATGAAGAAACAAGGAGAAAAGCTTCAAGTGCAAACATTGGACAAATCTTTATCACGGAGAAAAAGAAAAACATTTTGGTGAGACAATGTTCGGTGGTGACTACTACTATTGTGGGTAAAAGGGTCGATGAAGAAGCATTGTCGTAAATGGAAAATGAACAAAAGGATGGGACATATCGTTGGTGTTGTGACTTACGAATGAGAGCTTCTTTAATGTCAATGAGCGATGGTTTCTGGCAAAGAAATCTATAATTGCCTTTGCCGAATGAAGATGAGAGTTCTGGTCAGCAGGAGCCTGGTCAAGAGAAGTCTGATTAAGAGGAACTTGGTCAAGAGAAGTTCAATCAGGAGAAGTCTGGCCATGAGTAGTTTGATCAACGGGAGCTTGGTTATGAAGTTCGATCAATGAGAGTTTGGTTAAGAGGATTAGGGGCTGGTTATGAGAAGTTCAATCAATGAGAGTTTGGTCAATAGGTGCAATCCTACTTTCGTATACCTTCCTCATGGTTATCTTTTATTCATATTTTTTTCCATCAAGAATGTTTTATAAAACTCTTTGACTCCTAAATTTGGAGTATCCTACTTTCACGCAATTCACATTTACAAGGTTCAACAAGTAATCGATATTTCACCATAAAGGGTGTAGTACTATTTGTAGTAGTTGTCCTTATATATCGTATTAACAATCAAAAGATGGTCGAAAGAAAAAATCTCTAATTGACAGTGCTTCTTCCTATACCTATAAAAGGAGATTGTTGGATTTTTCCACCCATGATGAGTTTTCCTAAGTCTATTAGGAATCATAGTCTTCGAGAATTAAATTGTTTACCCAATTGGAGTTGGTTTCTATATTGGAAAACTATTGATAACTAGATTCTTTAAAGAAGTAATCCTTATTGAAGAAGACATTTATTATTTTTATATAAGGGAGCTATTGCACTAGTCTTGAAGGGGAGCAAATCAATAAGTTGTGGACCACTCAAATAGTTAGAGTGAGAGAATATTGCAAGGACAAAATGTATGCAAGAGAAACGAAAAGAGATAAGAGTGTATTTCTTGTTCTTATTCTTTCAAATTTTTCATCAAGTACTATTGCTAGAGGCTTGGCAAGATAATTTGTTGTACTCACTATTGAAATTAAATAGAAAGTTTGTTGTTGCTACCCTGTGGACGTAGGCACGTAGCCAAACTACATCATTCTTGGTGTTATTTATCTCGGTTATTTATTTTCAGTTTTTCCAAGTGATTTTGTTTTTTCAATTCTTAAACGCTATATTCACAACAATAGCAGCCCGTGTTTCAGGTACATTGCAAAATCTCTCAAATTATGATTTCAAATTATCCCCCGAAAATAGTAAAAAAATACAAAATAAGAGATTTCATGTTAATAGGTTTTAGAACGTACAGACACAAGTTCACCATGCCCTTTTTTTATCCAAAAACACAAACCACATATTGCACGCGAGTTGGCAACACGGTATTTAGAAAACCTTTGCCAACCCATGGCCAGTTGCTTGTAAATAACGGTTGTCTCCATATTACTTAACACGGTTTTCTACACAATGTTCTAACCAACATTGTTTGAACCAGAGTACGAAATCTCCAACGCTCCAGGTCCCTTGAAATCCGGAGGTGGAAGAAGGTTCTCGGTAAGCAAAGGAGATCTGTTAACCAACTCTAATCATTGTTACAATATAAATCCCCTCGCTCTCCTCTCCTTAAACCCATCCTTCACTTCTCTGCCTCTCAAACCCTAAATAGTAAATACCATCTTCCTCACACACACAACTAAACCCTAAACCTTCCCTCTGACTCTCTTTCCCTATAATGGCTCACTCCACCGGCCTTGTTCTTGTTCTAATGGCTGCTCTTTTGGTGGCCTCAACAGGGGCACAATCCCCAGCATCGTCACCGTCTAAGTCCCCTGCGGATTCTCCTTTGAGGAGTCCACCATCGGCTCTTCCTTCTCCATCATCAGCTGTTCCTTCTCCATCAAGCAATCCACGTAAGGCTGCACCCTCTCCATCTCCATTGACCACTCCACCTGCTGCCACTCCTTCTCCATCGAGCACCCTACCAACAACCGCTCCCTCTCCATTTAGCACTTCACCAGCGGATGCTCCCTCTACTGCCCCTGCCGCTGACTCTCCACCTTCTCCTCCCTCATCTTCCCCTGTGCTATCTCCGGAGATTTCTCCCTCTTCAATATCTGGAGATGCTCCTGCACCCTCCCCTAACGGTGCCGTTTTGAATAAGTTCACCTTCTCTGGATTTCTGGCCGTTGGGGTTTGGGCTGCTTCTGTCTTGGTTATGTAGAGGACAGTCAGACTATGATTAACAATACAATGGTTATGTAGAGGATATGTAACATGTACTCACAAAGAGCACTACTTGACTCCTTAACGGATCATTCCTTCCTCCCTGCAAATTTAACTCCAACATATATTATAACATTTCAAATTTGTTTGGAATTGCAGCCCATTGATTCTAGAAAACACTATTTGTCCCTGTATAAAGATTCATTTTCCTTGTATGATTCCAATTTCAATTGGTATGTTTTTTATTACATTACTAATTCATTTTCAATAATCATATGACCAGAAACGTACGATAATGAGGGAGGCTTTGAACAATAAAGTGGAAAACAAATACAAGACAGTACTTTAATGTGCTACCACAATGTTCAACCAAGTGACAAACAATCTAATAATGAATATGTATCATACTTAGGGCTGCAAGTTAGAATGGTATTTTCGATTCCAACATAAAAATTTCTGAATCTGAATATTTCTAAAAATTTGAAATGGAAATTGGAATACATTCAAAGATTTTGAGAATTCCGAATTTTCACTTTGAAATTTTCTGAACTGTTTGAACTTAATTATTACGATAAAAAATCCGAATTTTTAATGTTATTTACTAAAATTATGTATTTTGTAAATATATTTGTATTTTATTGTTAGTTTTAGACACATTTTATTCAGGATAAGCATACTAGTTGTTCGTCGCAGGAATCTCCTGGCGGACGAGCACACAGCTCCCCTGGGAGAATGGCGTCGGTTGAGGGTATCTGTCGTACTTCTGCTTTCTTCTCGGGCTCGCTCGGGCAAGCCTTTGTCGGGCAGATCTTGGTCGGGCAAGACACACTTCGGGCAAGGCTCGTCGGACAGTTCTGAAAGAGAAGGACAGAGTTAATTTGAAAGGGTGCCTTGTGGGGCCTTAGATGTAGGCCTTAAGGCTCACAATCAAGATTAACTTTGTCGTGCTCAGGCGTCCCACTGCCATCTTCAGTATGGCAGATGTTGAATGGGTGTTAAGCTTTGATTGAATATGTATACGCCCGAGAAACCAGGTTAGATATAACAGTTGCCTTTGTGAGGCCTTAGGTATAGGCCTTGAGGCTTCCTGTCAAACTAAACCAGCGCTTGGATGTATCATATTTGGTCTTTTATGGTTGCCAGAGTCTTATCACTATTATACTTTTGATTATCTGAATCCAAGAGGTAGGACGAACCCAAATGAGTGCCTTTGTAGGGCCTTAGGTATAGGCCTTGAGGCTTCCCATCAGAGTTAATCCTTATACTCGGACCAACTAGACCACAACATGAAATGAAGCTAAATAGATGCCTTCGTGGGGCCTTAGGTGTAGGCCTTGAGGCTTTCTATCAGAATTCACTCCCTGCCTAAGCCTTTTCTACGAATCAAGATATAATAGCAACAAAACGGAGAAATAGATTAATTACTTGCGCCCCAAGTAACTTCGGACTTCTCGCTTATCAAGGATTGTCGTAGATGGGTTGAGTCCACATAGAGTTCTTTTTTATGCCTTGAGGTCAAGGACTTTTAAACTGATCTTTAAATTACACGCCCGCCGGGCTTAAGACTTAGATCTGATTTGAACTCTGACACGATTCAGATCGGATCCAAGTGCTGAAGACTCATTTTCATTATGACTTTGCTAGAAATAACTTGTATATAACTGGGAATATATAACATGTTATTGTGTTTTTAAAAGAAAGAAAAGACAAAGACAGAGCAAAGATAGTCGGGTAAGTTTGAACCTTATCGGCCAAGGCTGAACTTCTTACAAAATCTATCTTTGTGGCTCTGTCAGAGGTCTGAAAGCTTTTAGAGGGGTTGACGGGGGAGAAGAGGATACAAAATGAATCGATACCACCATGAACAAGGTAGCAGAGCTATTACAGGGGTTTGGGAAGGTTTATCCCGAATGGGATGAAGGCTTGTGCTGACTACAGCTTCGTTGAAGGCAAATCTGGCTTGAGCAGAGTTTTGGCTTTTGTTTGTTTGTTTGAGTGTCCTTAATTCTGTCTTCTCTTCCTCCTTTTATAGACGACTTCAGCTTGGGTTCCTGTAGCAATAGCGGTTGCCCGAATGCGGTTTGGTGATGACTCACTAGCTTTTTTACATGAATGCCACCAATAAAGTACTTTATTGGGCTGTGCAGTGACTGAATGACCCACCCCCTGTGGTCTTTGAGCAGGTAAGCAGGTGGCCTTTGTAACTTGTGCCCAGCCGAAAGCCTCTTTCCTGCCTCCTAAGTTTTCCTCTGGGCCTTGGGTTTGGGCCGGCTTTCTCTCTGGCCCAAAGTTCAGATTTTATCCCAAACACTAGTATATCACAAAATTAAATGTATCTGTACACAAGCATATATCAAATACATTAAGAAAAAACAATAAAGTGCATGTACGAAAATTCAAGAATATTAAAACATGTAAAATATATGAATTTTCGACCTATGTTCTGATCTGATCCGATTTTGAAATTTGGAAAGAAAAGTAGAAACGTTGTTTCCTATCCGACCAGTTCTAAAATCACCCCTAATCATATTTTTACTTGCTAACCAATCAAATGGGGAGAAAATAGGAAAAAATAATGGCAAACTTTGTTCTTATTTCATTGACAATAAGACTTGTAACTCATTGAGACAGACATGCAGATTCCGAAGCTAGACAGGTTCATATGCCGAAGCTAGACAAACAAATTCAGATCATATACCGAATCTAGACAAACAAATTCAGACGCCAAAGGCAGACATAGAGATTCAAAAGTTGAAGACATACATACGGCAGACATAGAGATTCAAAAGTTGAAGGCATACATACAAAATTAGATTTCGAAGTCAGATGCAGACTTCATATACAAAGCCAAATGAAGATATCAAATGAGGAAGCCAATACTGTTGCACCATCGTCACTATGTGAACATGATCCCCATGTTCATGTACTAATTGTTTTTGGTATAGTAAATACTTCAGTTGGCAGGGTATAATAATGGTATTGCCATTTTGATATTGGGCTATTTTATTTGGTCTCAGATATTTTTATGATGAGGTTTGGTAAGTCTCATATTGCTGATTAATTTTATAATAAAAGTTCAATTTTTTTCACTTCTAATATCATCCTTGAAATTATTGTCAGCACTAATTTTTCTTTTGTTGTATACATGATATTTGAGACTATAATTTTGTCTCTGAAACTATTTATGATCTAATTACATTGTCATAATTTTGACGAGTGTGGACAAGACATTTAAAAATACGAAAACGTCTTATCTAAAAGATGATGCACATCAGCAATTGTAGAAAAGACAGCAAAGGTCAGAGAAGGTAATTTGGCTCAATCACTCCATACCTTGGAGGGTGCATTATCATTGGTTTAAATAGTGTACAATGACTTGATTTACAAGTATAATTAATATACATATAATACATAAAGGGAATGTTTTAATAATACAGGAAATCGAGAAATAATGATGAAATAGGAAACAATCTCAAGAGATCAAGAAGATATCATCTTTCACGCCCTCGCAAGCTGAGAGTACGATTGAGTACCAGAAGCTTGGAAACCAAAAATCTAAAACGAGGAAGAGAAAGACCCTTGGTGAAGATATCAACGATTTGGTTATGAGTGGAAAGATAGCTAACATTAAGCTTCTTGCGAACAACCTTCTCACGAATATAATGGTAATCCACCTCAACGTGCCGAGTATGAGCATGAAGCACCGAGTTGGAAGCAAGGGAGATGGCACTGATATTGTCACAAAACAGAGTGGGGCAATGGAAAGGTAACTGAAGGTCACGAACCAACATACGAAACCAGGAAATGGTGGCAGCGGCAAAGGGCAAGTTGACGATACTCAGCCTCAATGTTAGAACGAGAGACCCCATTTTGCTTCTTTGCACTCCATGAGACAAGATTGGAACTCAGAAACAAACAATAGCCTCCGGTTAAACGCCGATCATCGAGATCCCTAGCATAATCGGCATCGAAAAAGGCCGTAAGACGAAGTGAACTGGGCTTGTAGATAATACAGTGATTAGCAGTGCCAACAAGGTAACGAAGAATTCATTTGACGGCAGCGCAATGAGTGGAAATCAGCTGGTGAAGAAATTGGCATACTTGATTGACCGCAAAGTTGATGTCGGGACGAGTGAGAGTCAAGTATTGGAGGGCACCGACAACACTATGGTATTCAGTAGGATCCGGCAGAGGGTCACCATCATGAATGTTGAGTCGTCGCCCACTGACAGCAGGGGTAAGGATCGACTGGGCACCAAGCATTTTGGTGCGATGAAGGAGGTCAATGATATATTTGTGTTGGGAAAGAGAGACCAGATGGAGTATGGACCACCTCCATGCCTAAAAAATAATGGATCGGCCCAAGGTCCTTTATAGAAAACCATAGACCCAAATTCTTAATGAGTGACAATGTGAGAGGGATTATTCCCCGTGACCAAAATATCATCAACATAAATTAATAAATAAAATGTGAGTAGCGCCATGAATATAAGTAAAAAGCAAGTGATCCATTGTAGATGAATGAAAACTCAAATCTTCCAAATGAGTGGAAAAACACTGGAACCAGGCACGGGGCGCCTACTTGAGGCCATATAAAGAATGACGGAGGCGGCACACATGATTAGGAAACTTTGGATCGATAAAGCCATGAGGTTGGTGCATATAGACCTCCTCAGATAAAGAACCGTGGAGAATAGCATTTTAAACATCCAACTGGCAAATAGGCCATTTAAATTGAACTGAAAGAGCCAAAATTAACTGAATAATAGAGTGATTTACAACAGGACTAAAAGTTTCACCATAATCATGGCCGGGTTGCTGATGAAAGCCATTGACGACCAAACGAGCCTTATACCACTGAACAGAGCCATTGAAATTTTGTTTAATACGAAACACCCATTTGTTTGCCAAATATTCATAGAAGCAATACGAGGAATAAGAGTCCAAGTACCTGCATGCTAAAGTGCATTAAATTCATTGGCCATCATAGTATGTCATTCCGTGAATTTATTGGCCTAACTAAAACATGTAGGCTTAATGGGTCCATTAGAAGATTTAATTGCAGTAGAAAAAACATATTTGTGAGGCTTATAGGAAGCCATTTTGGACCTGGTCAGCATACCATGAGAATTAGAAGGAGCTGCAGATATGGCAGCAGCAAATAGGGCCTCTGGAAGCGCAGCAGATGGGGCTGCAAGGCTAACTGCAGGCATGGGCGTATGAGCTACAAGTTGGG